TTCTGATGAACTCCAGAGTCAGCAAGACGGTTTCTGATGAACTCCAGCTTCAGTAAGACGGTTTCTGATGAACTCCAGAGTCAGTAAGACTTGCTCACTTCTGGAAACTAGCAGGTCTTTCAGAGAAATGAATCAATAATGAGAAAATAAACCTTTTGAACTGAGGTGATTTAATTCAGTCTTTCCAGCATCTACAACCTTCCATCGGACCTGTTCCTTCATCCATATCCGTCTTATTCTAGCGCTCCTGCATCTCAGTTCTGTAGAAACTCTTTGAGGAACGTTTGATGACTCAGTCCGGTGTGAAGTCGGGACGTTTGGAGCCTGAGGCGTTCAGGAGCTGCTGTCTCAGTCTCTGCATCAAAGCCAGGAATAACTGGAGTCATGACTCACCCGATCTTCACGGTGTCCAAGGTGTGGCAGGGGGTCCCGAACACGGGCACCTTGCCCATGATGAACATCATGACTTCGGCTCGCTGGTAATCCGGCAGATTTCCACCAAAAAACCCTGCAGAGACGAATAAACCACTTTAACCCTTTTTTATTTTAGAACAGGAGCCGTTTATAAAGTGTGTCGCTTCAAAGCTGAACCACAGAACCGTTGGAAACACGAGCGTCTAAAAGAAGAGCTGAAGTTTGGGTTTCGCCCTCCTGCTGTCCTTGGGGCCCCCGGGATCATGTGACCCGAAGACTTCAACTACATTTTCTGCTGAAACACAGCGAGTGCTGAGCCCAAGAAGCTGTGACTTTAAATTTACAAAATAAAAACAAACATCAACGTAGTTAAGTGGAACCAAACGCACAAAAAGGACAGCGCAGAAAAAAGGCTAAAACAATAGCTAAAAGCCAAAAATAACAACGTAGCTAAAAAACAAACAAAAAAGCTAACATCTAAAAAACAAGAGCAAAACACAAGCTTAAAGAAAAATGCCAGCTTAACGCTTTAAAGGATTAAAAAACTAGCTGAAACAAAGCACCAGCTAAAAGCTAAGTAGCAAACCGCTAGGAAAAATGCAACATAGCAAAATGCTAACTTAAAGTAGCAAAAGACAAGCTAAAATTAAATAACTAGCTAAATCTAAATGTAGCAAAAGGTTAACTAAAAGGTAAAAGTAGCATAAGGCAAGCTAAAACCCAAAAGTAGTAAAATTTTAGCCGTGATTTAAGTGGAAAAATGCTAGCTAAAACAGCTAAACAATGGCTAAAAGCACTAAAATGGCAGCTAAAAGTACAAAAACATTATCTGAAAGCAACAAAGAGTTAGCTTAATGTACCAATCTTACTTCAAAGTAGTGAAAGACAAAAAAGTAACAAAAGACTAGCTAAAAGTAGCTAAACATTAGCTAAAAGCGGCTAAATGCTAGCTAAAAGTAGCTAAACATTATCTGACAGCAACAAAGACTTAGCTAAAAGTACCCAAATATCATTTCAAAGTAAAGAAAAATGAGACAAAACAAAAGGATAGCTACAATATAAATGTAGCTAAAGGTTAGCTAAAAGTAGCAATAGGCTAGCTAAAACCCCAAAATAGCAGAACAGAAGCTAGAAGTCAAAAGTAGCAAAAGGTCAGCTAAACTTAGTAAATCATTAACCCAAAGATTAGCTAAACCCGTAAACATCTGCCTAAAACTCAAAGCATCAAAAGTCTTCCCGTCACATCTCCTGACTGAGCCGAACGTTTTGATTTATGAGCAGCCGAAACAGCAGAACGTCTGTAGGAGCAGCTAAAAGACGTTCAGAAGAATAAGAACAGGAGAACAGCAGCATAAACGCTGAGTCAGCGTTCAAACTGCCGACTAATGGCAGGAACAGGAAGCGTGGTACCGATGGTCTGGATGATGGCGTTCTGCACGATCCGCTCCTCGCTCTCCTTCCCCCGGCCGGACGAAGCGCTGCTGCTGGAGTTCCTCCTGGAGTTCTCGCCCAGCTCGAAGTCCACGCTCAACCGGAGGTGTTTGAGGAGCGTGTTGAAGACCTCCAGAACCGTCGGACCTGGAGGCACAACAGCAGAATCAACCGGCGACCTCATCCTCGGGCGTTCGAGCAGATCGCTGCAGACACTTTAACTGCTGTAAACTGAGGACCGTCGCCTTTAGATTATAATCTGAAATCCAGCAGGAAAATGTGCCCTGAGTGAAACCTGCAGCGAACCGTTGGACGCCCCGACACGACGAACTGACGATTAAACATTAAAAACATTAACAGCTTCTGTTCTCAGCTCCAACATCACCCCCAGAATACAGGTGTGATGGTAATCTAACAGGGATTACTAATCACTGCACAGATTAACTTTTCTACAAAACAAACACGGCCCAAAACCTGAGCAACCAGAAAGAACAACCAAAAACCAGGAAGCAAATGATAATTATGAACTTAAATATTCAAACTAAACCGTCAGTAATCTGAGTGAGAAAACAAAACGTGATTCACTCTGATAATCTGCCACAGCTGAATTATTAACTGCTTTATAATAATAATAATAATAATAATAATAATAATAATAATAATAATAATAATAATAATAATAATAATAATTATTATTATTATTATTATATTTAATGGAGTTTTTCTGTTTCTGGTCACTCTGCGTTCTCAGATTAACTCAATAAAACATGTTGGAATAATCTGGGATTACCCGGCATCAACGTTCAGTTCTCTGAGCAAACCTGAAGACACGTGAAAATAATCTGCATATTAACAGATTGACTCGTTCACATTTGACTGAAAGTGTTGAAGAGGAGGACGTGTGAGACAAGTCGCTGCGTGAACAGATGTTTATCCTTTTATTAACGAAGGAAACAACAAAGATCAATTAAATAATAATAATTAATTAAATCTGTCTTTGCTTTGAATTTGGGTTCAGCAGAATTAATTAAACTAATACAAGTGGATTTTGACAAAAAGGACAGTTCCCAAGAAAAGACCTAAAACAATGTGTCCACAGGGATGTGTCCTGTGTCCAGCAGCTCAGGAGTCTTCAGTCTGTAATCAGTCTGCCTGTTACAGAGGACAGGTGGACCAGAGTACCTGAGGACAGGTGGACCAGGACACCTGAGGACAGGTGGACCAAAGTACCTGTGGACAGGTGGACCAGGACGCCAATAGACAGGTGGACCAGAGTACCTGAGGACAGGTGGCCCAGAACACCTGTGGACAGGTCAAGTCAAGTCAAGTCAGGTGGACCAGAGTACCTGTGGACAGGTGGACCAGGACACCAATAG